GTAATTTGGTTTGTCCATAATACACTTGACTACAACTATTGCATGACAGTTTATATACAACACCAATATCCATTGGATCTTTACCTTTGAAATTTCGAGAGAATAATTTACCTAGTGTAAGTCCTTTCTTGAATCCAAAAATGACTTCAGCTGCAGGATAAATTTGTTCAGCATCATTTTAATTTTATTAGACATTTTGATCGTCTCAATGCTGTAGTAAATGAGTGGAATAAAAAGTGTCTTCTTTTTCAATTTGATCGGAGTTGTTGTGGCTATTCTTGCCATTGAAGAAGAATGAGGCGTTTGTGATTTCTGGTATTGAGCTATCGTATTTTTAACTTTTCTGTTTACTAAATTAACTGGATAACCATTCTGAATCATAGTTTTCTCAATAAAAGTTCATTACCCTTCCAATAGTTGTTTTGAAGAACAAATGGAGAGAGCTCGAAATGTCAATGTTTTTACTAAGCCAATTTTATATTTCTTTGTCTGACATGAAGTCAACTGAAGAAGCTGACCGGTGTGAGTCTTTTTTTGAATATAGTCGTTTCAAATTTTTTCTTTTTCATTGCTCATTTTGTGTTGAAAATAACTTGCGATAAGTCGAAACGTCCACGTTGATTTGTAAGTTAATCAATAAAATGGTAGAAACTCTCGTATCTTTTGTAATTAGAATATATTACTGTATAATGTGAAAATTGTTAATTTTTAATGACCTGGTGGCCCTACAGGATAGTTTAGCCGTTGCAAGTTTATCCTGGTAGAAATGTGTATGTGAGAGTGAGAATATCAGAGTTTCATAGTAATACTTGTTCAAGATTTCAGAATTTCAGAATTTCGGTTTCTTAAAGTTTCATAGTTATACTTATACACTATTTCAAAGTTTCGTAGTTTCGTAATTGCGGAATTGCACTATTTCAGATGCTTATGGTTTCAGAGTTATACCTATACACTATTCAGACGTTTAAGAATCTCATAATTTCAGAGTTTCGTAGTTATGCTTGTAGCCTATTTAAAAGTGTCAGAGTTTTAGAGTTTCACACTTTCACAATTTCATAGTTTTGGATTCTGAGAGTTTCATAGTTATACTTATGTACTATCTCAAAGTTTCGTGATTTAAGAATCTGCGAATTTCGAAATTTCAGAGTTTCACACCTATACTTGTACACGATTTCAAAGCCGAAGTCTGAGATTTGACCGAGATATAAGGATTTTAATTTTTGCTCGTAACAGGCGAAAAACCGGTTTTTCATAAAAATGCCTCTGATAAAGTTATTTTACACAAAAACAAATGTTGCCTCTATCCTCAGCGTAGTCGGTTACCTATATTCCATGGCATTTCGAAATTCCTACAGATGTCTGCTCGGGGAAAGAGAGCCTTGTCCGAACAACGGTAGCTAGAGAGCTAGGACTTGCATAATTTTGTAGAGTAACGTCCGGACTACCTATGCATGCAAAAAAATTACTAACTTTGTATGTTAATTTTCTGAGAACGGAGCTAGTTTTCAAAGATCTGCTGGAAAACTGAACTTGCAGAAAATTTTGAAACAACTTTCTGCTTACAAAAGCATGTCTTACGGTCTTAGCGATGGTGAAAATCGCAGATCGCCATCTATTAGTGTGATTGAGTTATTCCAAAAGTAACCGATGGCCCTGTGTTTTGGGACGGATAATAGTATAAGAAGAAGGCTATCGAATTATATTTCACCATAAATTATCAAAATATTCAAAGAAACACGTAAAACTACGTGATTTAATAATTTTATTTGGAAAACGTGCTTGAAACTAGTAGAGTTATGATTTTTTTCTATTTACACAGACATTGAACAAAGATATAGAGGGAAAAGGGTCTTAATTTTACCGGTATAAAAGAGTCTTTTTTTTGAACAAGGTTATTTATCGTATGAGAATACAAATTTTACATTAGTTAACAATTTTGAAGATTCATCAACCGATCCTATCAGATATAATTTTCAAATGACACAATCATATAACCAAGCTGAGCCAGCTGGTGTTAAAAAATCGGAAAAGCAACAAAAAGAAAATTATTTTAAATTAACGTTTAATGAATTATTAAGTATTTTGTGTACAGCTACAATTCCCATAGCTATCATCATCTATACAACAATAACAAGAGATCAACAAACACAAGCAGCTAAAGAACGTAGTCAATTTGATTTGAAACAAGCAGCTGAATTACAACAACAACAAATCTATAATCGTTTTATTGATGATATTTATACATTACATAGAGACGGCGAATTGAATGATACTGCTAAACCACGGGCATTTGCTAATGCACGTTAGATAACTGTTCAAATATCATACATTAGTCACTGATGTCAGCCCAATTTTTTCGCTTTGTAGCCGACATTACAGGCTATTCGCTTATGATTGGTCCAAAAATTCCAAATGCATTCTACGAGCTCCTGTTAAAAATTTTGCAAGTAATTCCTA